CAATAAATCAAGGAATGTAAAATRAAATTGATGAAATTTCAGCTCTCCCACTTTGGAAGGAGAAAAGAATACCGTTTAGAAAAGGGAAGAAACACACGTTCAGTGTTCAATGAACCTAAAGTTCTGTGTTTTCATGTCCCATATACTAACTATGGTGTATTTATACTTCAATGATGTCATCTCTAGCGTTCTGGTTTGATTGAAGTAATGGTGGTGTTTCAGTGCTTGGATCGCCATTGATATCTGTCAATCTTGGGTTAACATCTGCACGTACTAACTGATGCCGACCTTCTGACCTTGCTTCGCCGGTGCCATTAGACAGGTTTGTTGTCGAACTTTCAGACGTTTCTCCATTGCTTCCCTGATCTCCTTGTTCAGAATCAAAGAATTCCTGCACTATCTTCTCGATCTTGTATGCATTTTCTCTGTCAATTATGTCCTTGGAATTGCCGCTACGAAATATTTCTATCAATTTCGGGATAAGTCCAGCCAAAGAAACGGCCAAGGTTTTGGTCACATCGTTTAAACTTGTTTTCCCATAAACCAAGATAGAAAAGTATGTCAAAAACAAAAATGAACCAATTATTGCGATTTTTACGAACATTATAGTGTAAGTCTTGCTAAATGGCAGGATTTTATCGACAACTTTCTGGAAAAGGACACTCAGTTGGTTAATCCTTGGCACTCCTTCGTTATCCACTATTATGACCTGTCTGTTTTCTTTTTCTTGGTATTCTTTGCATTTGTCGAATGTTTGGTTAAGGAGGTCTTTATACCTATTTCCAACTGAGCTGAAACAGTTCCAAATGTAGAAAACGAAAAGAGAGAAGAGTGCAATAAGAGGTAAATAATCATCCTTACTGGCCACTATTCCCATGCAAAGATAAGTTATGAGTCTTGCAATTAACAGTAGCGAGCGAGAGACTATTTGCGCAAATGACAATCCTGTAATACAGCTCATAACGGATAGTGCAACACCGATACAAACAGCAACGATTTTTTGTCCTGTTATCGTTTCCAGTGTACTAAGAAAGCGATAGTAAAACCACAAAACATAGATATATGCTTGGCTAATGAGAATATGAATGCTGCGGCCCAACGGTGAGATATACCAACCATATCCAATGAAAATCAATATGAAAACAATGGGGAACAAAATCAATATAAGGAGAAAACTGMATACAAATTTAATAATCTTTAAGCAAAGAAAAGTTTTAAAATCGAACAGTCCTTTGAAGCCAAAACAGAATTTCATRAAAATATTTCTGGTAAAAGAACACGGTTTCATCCAATCCATTTCGAAATCTTGGCTCTSAGCATTACGAATTAAGGAATATTCGTGCTCTACTTTTTCCTGGCAATCAGCAGGTGCTGAAGAAAAATCAAAGTTTTCATATCTTGGAAGCAAAGAAATAATTAACAGTACAATGCTATAAGACACAGCTGCAAACACTGAATCAGAAATATTCTTTTTCCGCCAATTCTTTCTCACGGCATCATTAAACATCTTTGGTATGTCATGTTTAGCGGTGAAGATTATGAGACCCCAGTCAATATAGAACAATGTGGGCAGTAAACAACCAATAAGCAGTTTTCTTAAAAGATTTGCAGAGTAATGTTTATTTGAATAATGACGTAGCTTCTGGACAGCAAAGTTCGCCATACGATAAAATGGATTGCGAACTTGTACGTTGGCGCTCATTGTTTGAGAAGTGTCATCTTTATCAGGAAATCGAACTGAAACAGCGGGAAAACAACCAAAAAAAATTGTTGCCACAATTATTATTGTAACAAAAACTCCTGACATCTCTGAATTAATAGAAGGGGGAATGTCACAGTCAATTTTCTGCGTGTGAAAGTTTTTTTGGCAACATTTATATTTCACCGAGGAATTGAAATTGACGACATAACACAATGCACC